TAGGCGCTTCCTTTAAGTCATTAAAAGAGAAGGCGATTCTTGCTGCTCACATATTCACACCATTAGAAAGAATGGATTGATTGTACTGCTGACGTCAAGCATGATACACCATGATGGGTTCGAAAGAGCACTTTATCATTTGGCAACAGATGGCAAAAGGAAACAGGCGATTACCTGAGTGATGATGAATTTGTTGAACAGTGGTCCTCCTTGAACGTAATTTGCATGTATGAAATCATAGCTTGCAGCTTTTGGGTAGCGCAGAACCACACGTGTGCTATCACGACACTTGATTCCTGAAATATGGTAGCACTTCAGTGTGTATGTACGCTTATGCTTGCTTGCGCGCTCAGTAGAAAAATGGCAATGCTTTTAAAATATAAGTCAGAAAAATGAAAATTCGATAAGTATTGTAAGGTCAGTTGTCAGTTAACAGTCTGTATTTTATCCCACAGCGAGAAGCTGAAAATAGAGGGCGGTTGACAGTGAACGAACGTCCCTCACTTTGTGTCCAGAAGCAGGCGCCAGTGACAACTGATGAACAGACGGGTGAAAAATATTGTTTTTCAATCAACGCCATGTACTTCTCCCTTTTCTGAATCCAGTATTTCTTATCTGCGTTATTTTTTTGTATATTTGGTAATGAAGAAATTAGTTTTACAATTTAGTAAAATTGTATGAGCAATGAACTTTTATTGCGGCACAAATGGAGATGCTCATCAAATGCATGATGCGTGAAGACGATATGGTTCACTTGATTATCAAGAATTTCGAATCGCCGCTCCATGCCACCAATCATTGTTCGAATAAACACCTGTTTTCGGCTGCCGAACAGCGCCTTCCACATCACGATATTATTGTAATCTTAAGAGAGTCAGTAAAAGACCACCGCCCTTGAAACAATAAAAATCCACGGCCTGTGTGAGCAAAGGATGAACAACACATAAAAAGTGAAGGTAATGTAAAAAGGCAAGTGGAAGTGGAACTAAGTAAGAAACACGTAGAGCAGCGTGCAGCTTTAACTAATAACATGCAACTTTCTACTTCGCCGGTGTGTTCTCAATGTGGTTGTGTAATATTCTTTTGTTTTAAGCTTTACATCGATCTTGAAGCCGAACGCGGTCACGGTCGTTTTCCACACTCCGAACAAACGCAATCATGCGCAATTTGATCCCGTTTCCATCCCAGTCTTTTTTGAAAAATTCCTCCAAATTATGATTTCTAGTATTCAGTTCATCGTTTTCCAACCATTTGCTAGCTTCCTAAAAAGTGTGACGAAATCAAAATATTCCCCACATAGAAATCACAATCATTTGAGAAAAAGCTTCGAAATTACCAGCCTGTGTCCGTGTGAGCCGCTGATGAAGAATAAATGAGCGTGCATCTGCGAGTTCTACTTTTTTATTTTTCGTGAAAAAATCACTGTTAATCCCGATCTGAAAAGAAAGTGCAAGAGATGGATCACATTTGGCAAAGCATGACTAGTACAATTTTCTCACTTTCCAGAACTAACAAACCAGTGATATATTCTGGGCACATTAGTCCCTTTTTGCAACTACAGGACTAATGTTATCTGGTTAAAAATGTATGCAGCCGCAGAGTTCCCACAAAAACAATTGATTTCGGCAATGGTTTGAAGTTTTACAAAATACATTTCTTATTGGTGTGGAGATATAGAAATTATCGAAATTTTCTAAGCCTGATTGATTAGCGACGAAGACAGGATCGTCCCAGGTTTGCATTGTGGGGGCAGGAGGAACGAAACTGAAACTAATTTTAGGTCGTTTCTCGAAACGGCACGCTGAATGGTACTCTTCCTTTTGGCTATTAAATTTCGATAAAAAAAAGCACGAACATAGTACGTTTAAAATGTGCTGTAATGAATAAAGTCTTCGAAAGAAATGGCTTTAAAGAAACATATATTTTCTGCCAAGTTCTGGGAGTCCTCATTTTCCTATCTCTCACCACCTACCGTCTTCTTCCATTCGATCTTACTTTTCAGTCTCTTCACTTCTTACTGATCCAGCTCTCCAAGGTGTACTAGAGAGGGTCAATAACCACATATATTTCTTAAGCACCGAAATAGGAGTGAGTTACCATACCGAATGACACTTTTAGAAGCCTCGGTTCTAAGCTACCGCAATTGGTAACCAGCTAATTATTTTTCCAATTCAAAAACCTTATCGCAAAGCCCTTTGAGCGGAAGAACCCAGCCAGCCTTGTTGGCTGGTTTCTTCTTCCCTTCACTGAATTTTTTGGTATAGCTCGGCTTCCAGGCGCTATCATAGCGAACATCGTATAGTAGTTTCTCAGTCAGCACAGCGTTCTTTGCGCTCCTATCAATCATGTGGTTCACGAGATTCTTGTCTGTAAACGCTTATACCGAATCAGTGTTTTTATCCATTTCAAGAAATTATTTCTCATATTATCGAGTTTTACACATAATATTACCAAATATTTTTACATCTTTCACAGCCCTGACGTCTTATCGTGGTGTGGAAGTGGCAGCGTGCTAGGCGGCACGGCAAG